CGTTTTTAAAAAGACTAAAACTACTATGAGGTGAAATTGCATTTCAAAAGCCCTTCGCTTTCAACAGATAACGATATTGATGTTCGGCCGTGACGGCCGAACATCAATATTGTCCAGTTTTTACCGTATTTCTAACCATAAAAACTTCATCCCAATATATCTCGATAACGCTCTTACCGGTTTCGCTTAAACTTCGCAAACATCGGGGCGCCTATTAGAGGAAAAAGCTCTCGTGAACGATTTTGGAAGGACAGTTCCCAGTGCCGAGAAATTCGGCTGCAAGTAAAATAGGTAAAGGCGTCATTTCGTCGCTATGACAACTCCGGTGTCATTGTAACCCTGATAAGAACTCATTTTAACCTTAATCTAATACAGCTGCGGTGGTAATTTTTCTAAATCTGTCGGTTTATGGCGACTTAGTTTATGCTCAAACCCTGGGAGGGTACGTTGATCCTGAAAAACCCTATCGAGCCATCTTCAGTCACACTTTCGCTGCCATCGTAGTCGTGGTTACATAAGCACTCCATTATGCAATAAGACTGATCTCTTTTATCGATATGATATGTCATCCTCATAGAAAACTATTTTAATCTTAGTGTTCAACAATTTTTAAATTAAAATCATAGCTCAAACTTCAAAGAAAAAGCCAGTTGTCTTCAAGAAGGCATCTGACGTCACACAAAAATACCATTCCGTGTTCTAAACAGTAGGTCTTTCCTTACAAGCGCAACCGTTTTTATAAACTTTTCGATAAAGAATCTGAAACTCTTAAATCCCTTTTGTTTGCCAGGTGGAGAAGAATGGAAACAGCTTGCAGAGAGCTTTGGTATGTCTTACAACGAAATCCGCTTTCTTGATAAGAGAACCATCAACCCGTGCGACGTTGTTCTTGATCTTATTGCGAAACACCGCTATTTGATGGTTGGGGAACTTTACGACAGACTCGTTATGAGCGGACTTCCTGGATCAGCCGACTTACTATGAATTATGATAAGCTATTTGTCATTATTTTGATTCAAGTGCATGTTCAGTTCAGTTGATCCACCAGGCAGTTACATAGAATACATCGTAAGACCGAAAACAAAAGTTAAGTATGTAGGAACAACTTTCAAAGATATACTGTCGTTTGAACTCATGACGGTATCGTTATTTTAGCTTCCTAGTAGTTTTGTGCACGTCCAGCAAAGCACGGAGAGCAGTGTTGCAAGTGCATCTGTAGGTTTCATTGTATACGGAGCTGAAAATTAACTATTAAACAAGTGTTGAAATAAATATTTTCGCCTACAATCCAGAAGAAAAAAAGAGAAGAAAAGAAAAGAAAAGAGAAATAAGAATCTAAGAAATGCTATAATTTTCTGTGGTATTTTTTCTACTACAAAGATGCCGTTTGTGGCTCAGTAGCATGAGGTGGTGATACCAATCAGTATTTTTTTGTATAAAGTCAGTGTAGCACAAAAGCACGTTATCATGTTATAGTTGCCGTCTGCATGCTTCACTCTTAACCTGAACCATCACAGGTATTTGCAGCGTTAGCAATCTTTGCAAAGTGTAGAACTCTGATACACAGCTTTATTAAATCGGTATAGCTGCAACTCGAGATGATATTATAGTAATGGAAACAAAGCCCTCTTCACATTTAAGTTTATTTACTCGAAAAATTGAATGATTTTGCATTTTAAGCCGTCAGGCTTTAAAGTGAAATGGAATTTTCATTATATCTAATTTTCACCAACGTATGGGGTGTTTTTCTCCAAATGTTAAATTTTAGATAGCTAGATTGTTTAACATGAAATTCTCCAAACTAATGATCTTAAAGCAGGAAACTGACCTTGTTTTGTAAGAAAATACGTGTTGCGGAGTCAGTTCTACTGTACTTAAATTAAAAGCAATTAACTCAGAAAGACAGCTGTAAAAAGAACGCTTATAACCCGGTGTCTTTTTTTCCAATCGAAAAACCATGCGCTTGACTCAACTTGATCGGTGTTTACAAGTAAAGGCCAAGTCGTCGACATACGAGTGAACTGTTGTTTAGTAAAAAATGGCATATTACTTCAAGCGAAACAGGGCGCGTTTGTCCGACTACCATTTATAAAATCATGATTTCACTTTTTTTTCTTTGAAGGGCAGGAAGAAGAACGGAAAATAAAAAAAAATTCGTGTTATCAAACGGTATTTGGTATAATATTATGCGGCCTCCTAACCCTGTAGTTTGTTTTCAATGAGGATTTCACGTCTTGCACAACTCCCTGAAATAAGATTCAGCTCGGGAAATTAAAGAGAGAAACTCCCGCGTGAGTTTTACTATGACAAAGTTAAAGAGTGACTCGGTTTGGTTCTTTCAGTCGATAAACATTATAATATTACCAGGGCAACAAAATCTACATTCCCCGAAGACCTAGGCCTACATTTATCATTAATGTAATTAGTTTCGGCTTGGTATGGTGAAGTGCTAGAAGTCAGGCCTCTACCTTCTTTTTGGTGATAGAATGTAAGATCAGGTTTGGTGCAACCACTTTTATACATTCCTAAAGTGTTCATTTTGCTTTGACTGAAGTGCAACTTCAATCAATATCCGCAAAAATTATTATAATCTGTAAAGACTATCAACCCTCCCCTGAAAGTAACACAAAAAACACAAAAAACATCGCTATTTCAATGATGGCCTGGCTAGTTGTAGAACAACATTTATCTGAAGTCTTTTTGGTTATAGAATGTAAATGTTTAAGATGAAACCGTTTTGATGTACTAACAGTTAATTTTTTAACGTAACAGTGTTACAACACTTTTGCTTTGAATCGGAAACCCACAGTGGGGCAAGATAGGTCGACACACTATAATCTTTAATTTTGTTTAAATAGTTTTTGTACGACATTCATGGTTATAGTGTAGACAAGGTACCTAATCCTGCATTACTGGCCAAGTTTTAATAGCTGTTTTCAAATCACAACACAACTGAGGTAAGGTAAAGTCTTCATACTTCAAGAGTTCTTGATAATTATGACGCTGATAATTATAACATTTTGATTCTGAAATTATTTTTTTGATTGTAAGTTAGAACGTTTACTGAGGTAGGTACTTTTGGCATAAAATAAGAATAAATCCTTAAAATGTAAAATGTTGATTTTTTTCTTTCATTTGGACGTCAAAGAGGTGCTGGATTTATGAACCAACCCTTCCCCAGTTATCTTAATTTAATTATCATAGCGTCTGCTCAAAGCTCAAAGAAGTACACGTCAATTTCTACGGGCAAAACGCCGCACAATTTTTTTACCATAACCTTTTCAAAAGATCACTCCCTGGTCACCTTAGAAATCAAATAAGTGCTTCAAAAGGGGACAATTCCTTCCTTATGAGCACTTCGAAATCGGGAAGAAATTCATATGGTGAGAGATCTAAAAAAAGGCGATCTCATGGTGAGGATTGATCTCAAAGACGCATATATCACTGTCCCCCTTTGCCAGGAGCATCAAACCTTTGCGAGATTCGACCGGGATGGCACCCTCTACGAGTTTGTTTGCTACCCCTTTGGTCTGTCCATTGCCTCTCGGGTATTTACGAAAATCATGAAACCGGTTGTGGCCTTTTTACGGCAGCTGGGCATCAGGTTGATCATTTACTTGGACGATGCTCATCATAGCCCAGACAATAGAAATTCTGAATTGTCATGCCTCCACGACTCTTCACGTTTTAGAGAATTTAGGTTTCGGGATCAATTATCGCAAGTCAGTTCTAATCCCGGCGGCCATTTTTAGGCTTTCTCATCGACCCCCAGTCTATGACCCCGGCTTTGTCAAGGGACAAAGTCAGACATGTAAAGAAAGAATATGTCAAAGTGTTCCAAATCATCCTCAGGTATAATGGGTAAGAAAGCTGGCAAAACTGTTAGAGCACTTGACCTCTACCATCTAAGCTGTCTTTCCAGGTCTCCTTGACTTCTGCCACCTGTAGGGAGTCAAAAACAAAGCCCTTGCTCGTCTGGGTACGTTCAGCCTTTTCCCCAGGCATTAGAGAAGCTGTGGTTGAGGGGTAATTTGGATGCCTGTAACGGGAAGAGCCTAATATCCAGTTCCCCGAATCTCATAATAGAAACAGATGCAGCCCATTACATCAACAGAATGGGGAGAACAAAATCATCAGTCCTAGCTTGTCTAGCCAAAGATCTATGGGAATGGTGCTCGCGACATATGACGACACCAACGTAACTACCTCCAATCTAGGCAGTAGCCAATGGAAAGAAAATCGAATTTTCTTACTTAACCAGATCTCGCCTTCGGCTACGTCGACAAGAGATCTGGGTAAGCAAGCGTGTGGATACCAAATTCTTATTTCCTAGTGATATTTAAGCTCACCGGAGACCAAGTTAACACTAGCCGATAGTGTCCTCTTTCTGAAGATAGATACAACACAATGAAAGCAAATTATGTTATTACATTGTTTGAATCTGCAGTTTATTTCTACAGAATTATAATGCATCTTTTCATTGTTTTGAACAGGTTCTTATTTCAATAACCATGATTCTTCTCATTGTTTTAGAACAGAGCAGGTCATTATTTGAACACTGAGGTAGAACAGGAGGAAATAATGACGTCTTGTTCCACTTAGTTGACCACAATAATTTTTAGGACAACCAAAATTGACAAGCGTTTATTGTTTCTGCCACTTAGTTACAAACGTTCTTGCATTTGTCAATTATAACTTGGCACTTTGAAACTTTTTCTATAGCGTTTGTTAATGGTAATATTACAATTTCCAGCTAAAATATTTAAAGTAATTGACCCCACCCAAAGCATTTGGAATTTGTGCAGCAATAACATTTTGTCTGGTTGTTGTTTCTCTGGACTGGCCTTGTGCTATTTTCGAAACTTACGTAGTTGTTCCTTTGTTTGGCTCCCTTTTGTAAACTACTAAGGGCTTCCGATCGATGCCCAGGAGCTTCCCGAATCAACTTGTCGTCTACACCTTCTTGACACGATCCCGACATCGCTGTTTCGAGCTGTTGTTCGCAAAGAGTGATTGGTGAAATATCCCTTCATTCTAGTTAAAGCCATCATCGTTTTGACCATGCAGTTGAGTTTATTATGACCCAAAGGGACAGTAGAAAACCAAAAATTCTTACTTTCCTGTTTTTGCAATGGCTTCAAGTAAAAAGCATTATCCAGATATCCCTTAGGGCATCGCTCAATAGAAGTTTCGACAATTCTTACAACACATCTCTCATGACATTCAACGTTAGCATACGCTTTACAACTTCTCGGGCATAATTTTCTATGTTTTAACCCACCCTGGTTCTTTTTACTTACTCCTTCGGGTTAAGGTAAATATTCTGTGCCCTCAGCATCAGGGTAAAACGGAAAGCTTTGCACTCATTTTGCGGTGTTCATCCCCCGCCCTCATACCGAAATTTCATCCGATCAAATTAAAAATTGTTCTTAATAAAGTTTCAGGGTTATTGCGTCCCAAAATATTGCTTTCCCACAGGTCATTTTCAGTTAACTTTCCTTCCCTTCAATTCAAAATACTTTTGGAAGCTACTAAATAATTCGCCCAACGTTTTTCCCGGATAACGAGCTCCATCGTCTTTTCGGACTTCTCCAATGAATTGACTGAGGACTTCATTTACATCTTCCTCTGGCATTGTATCTCGGTCTGAATACACCTCCAGTATATCTCCGACAATAGATGTTTCCTTCCACAGCGCGTACCGTTCATACAGACGAAACGCCCCCATGGCTTTTTCTTTGGTATTTTTGGGTACAGACTGGACGATAAGCTCAACTACATCTTTCTCCGCGTTTATTTCAAATCGACCCTCTTTATCCTGTCCACAGTTTACTGCCAATACTAATAAATCAAGATAGGAATTGAGCGAAAAGCAAAAGAAAGGCATACAAAAAGATGTTGCGAACGGTTACCTTTTGCAGTTTGAAAGCGCCTCCCCCGCCATCACCAAACTAGGCCCGCCAACCTCAAACATGTCGGTAATATCGATAGCGTCGTCTTAAGACTCTTTTTCTCAAACATATCAAGACTCTGGGAAAAAATTTCATTGAATCCATCGTCTAAAACTATCTCTTCTTTTTCGTATTGATCCACCGCCTGCGACAGCAAATCATCCAAGCCATCGCTCATCATCTCTAATGAAATGTTTTTCAAAATAACTGAACATATTACCAGCAAAAGCAACTGAGCGTTATGGAACTCAGCTGCTGAACTGAAAGAAGAAATTAGAAACACTAAAACCGTTGAGAAAAGGCAGATATTCATATTGTAATACATGAAGGCTGCAAATCCTAACGGGATTTCATACAGTGTCTCTGGACTCTTTAATTAGCACACCATTCAAGCTGTTCTTGGCTTTCCTTGTTTCCAAAACAATGAAAAGGTGCATTAAATCGCATAATGCCCTCGCTCCCCGGCCTTGGAGCTCAGGTATTATCCTACATATACCGTCATTACCTAGCACCGTATTGTAGCTATTACGCTATCGAAATTGTATTTCTGGACAAAAACAAACACTAACAGTGACTAGTGTAATTTGCATTCCTTAAAAAATTTCCTTTGTAAAGGCAGATAATATACAGGCACTGAAGGAAAACGCGTCGAGACAATAATATGATAAACACTTGTATCTGTAATCTGTGCTGTATTAAAATACCAGACCAGAATGTTCAGCGATTGTTTCAAAATTTTGTCAGCCAAAACATCTTCAACAGCATGACAAACAAAAGTCAAAACTCAAGCTGAAAGGTAAAACCACTGACTACAACATAACCAAGGCGAAAGTTGCTAAAACAAAACATGATTTTATTTTCGTATTATATTACATCTCTTGCTTATTTGATGAATTACCTCTGTAAATAAAGTCGTCAAGTATAATCGACTTTCTTGGACTCAAGCATGATATTGTGAGAAATCCCATCCTGCTAGCGGTGGCTTTCTTTTCGCGTACTCGAGGAAATTACTCGAGAAAGACTCTGCTTGAATCTTTGTTGAGCATGCGCGGAATTTTGCTAGGATACAGTTTTGAACCCAGGCCTAATAGCCTTGCGCTTGGTACAGCGGACTTCAATCGGCGACAAAATTGTTGAGACATTGTACTCAAATAGGGTAACTTCTGAAGCATAAGAATCCACACCCCTCCCCTGTCCCCTCCATTCAAAGTTGGGATGTTTCTTGTTTTCTAAAGGTAGCTCGAACAGTGGCACGACATTGCATGGAGGGTATGGGGGAGGAATCGCTATCTTTTCCCCTTTTGAAGTCCGGAAAACGTCAAAAAGTCCATTTAGGGCGAGGTGTCTCAACCCATTTTATCGCCGATTGTTGGTTATCAATAAAAGGATGCTCGCACTTGAAAAATAAAAAAACAGTTTGACAATGGTTTGACGGGATAAAACAATATTGACTAGCCCAGAAATTCGGGCTGCGGTGACTTCAAAGACTTTACGAGATTCAGGCAGAGTCTCCCTCCTTTTCTTCTCCTCTGTCAGCAAGACGAAAGGAGGCTCCGCTCGCCAGGGGAAGGGAGGGGGGTGGGGGAGGAGAAATCCTCACTTGACTCTCGTGATTGTTCGTATGTTTAATACATACATGTATCCTTTTGACGAATGACGAATCCTCATTCTCAAACTAAAAGTATCCCGTGATTATTTCTCTTCATAGAAGCTAATAAAATGAAGTAGAGTACCGTATTTACTCGAATAAGCGCCGCTGCGCTTATTAAATTTATCATTCCTCAGGCGCGGCGCTTATTCGAGGGCAGCGCTTATTAGGAAAAATTGTATTAANATGGGCTGTGTGGGTGTGTCTTGACTTCACTCACATGCGAGTACGAGATAGACAGTGGTTAGTGAAGATAAAACTACATTCACTAGCCCAGAGAGTCGGCCTGCGGTCGCTTCCCAGATCCTGCGAGATCCGGGCGGGCCCGCCCCCCGGGGCGGGGCCGGGTGGGGGGGGGGGGGGGGGGGGCGGGGGGGGGGGGGGAGGGGGGGGGGGTGGGGGAGAAGAAATCCTCACTTGACTCTCGTGATTGTTCGTATGTTTAATACATACATGTATCCTTTTGACGAATGACGAATCCTCATTCTCAAACTAAAAGTATCCCGTGATTATTTCTCTTCATAGAAGCTAATAAAATGAAGTAGAGTACCGTATTTACTCGAATAAGCGCCGCTGCGCTTATTAAATTTATCATTCCTCAGGCGCGGCGCTTATTCGAGGGCAGCGCTTATTAGGAAAAATTGTATTAACCACGGAATTACTATTTTCCGTATTAAACTCTATCAAACTAACAGAATTAACATCTCTTGACTTCGACTATATCAGGGCAGCGGCGTTTATTTGAGGGCTACGCTTATTCGAGTAAATACGGCAACAGTAAATTCCATTCGAAGAAATGCCACGATGCCTAGCGACATGTAAACTCTTGGCGACAGAGTTTTGGCTAATAGTACTTGTTTCCCGGTGCCAATCTACTGCGGTCTCCTGAGCGCAACACTTTTTAACACTTTTTTGCGAAGATCGAAGCGTTTGAAAATGGTTGATCAGGAAATATTTGGTGCCGCTCGTCAGAGCATAGGGCAAAAAAGTGGTTCAACAACTGTTTCACAAATTCCTAATCGTGTTTTCACGTTATCGTGAGAGAAATCTCAAGAAAGATAAGGAGAAACTACGAAGATGACACTGGATGGCGTGGAAACTGGAGTTAACAGGCACTTTCCATTCGCTGAATACGTTACTTACCTTTGAATTTGGACAAGGTCAGGTGCCGAATGAACAGCATCTTCTGCTTAAACAGCTGTTCCATTCGTAATCTCTATGAACATCCGCTGCGATTAGTTTTTTTTAATATGTATAACGGTTCGGCTCTTTTCGCTTTTGTGACTTTTAATAGGGACAAAGCGTTAGAGCTTGGAAACCTCTAAATAAATAATGGCTAAAACAAGCGAAAATTTACAAAGAAGTTCACTGCACATTTACTACCTCTGCACGCTGAGGATTGTGGGCTTCTAGCCGGTACTTAGCAGTTTCGTCGGAGCGCGTTTAAGACGAATTCGTGGAGAAGCCGCTCTACTGCTATGTCTCTCGCGAATACGTACTTCCTTTATCGTGCTCCGACGAAGCCACCAGCAGTACAAGCTAGTAGGCTCCTGTTTAAAGACAAAATTTTGTGAATTAATTTATTTCTATAGAATTGTTTAACGAGATTTTTTGGCATTTAAAACAATTTTAATGTAGTGAAAGTTAAAATAAGCGATTTTTAATCGTATTACTAAGTTCCTTTACATTTTTTTCTTTGCTTTGCCATAAATACTGTCGAGTGTAAGACCAGCAAAAACACAAATGACACCAAACCATTGGCGAGCGATGAGTGAATTTCCAAACAGTAACACAGAGCCAAGGATGGTAAAGAACTTCCTTGTTGTGGTGATGATGGAACAGGTCAGGGGACCAAAGTTAGCAACGGTCATGAAGATAAAATTCTGAAACAAAAATAATAAAGATATTAGGGAATGAAGATTCTTCATATGGGACATACTAAGAGAAAAAAACGAAATTTCTTCGAACATCAACAAATTTAGAAAATTCATCAGAGGTTCTGAATGATAATTGCAGCCTCATTTTGGTATGAGGTTGATGCTACAAAGCGATTTTTGAAACTTCATCATCAACTACGTTAATATGAATTAAATCATCCCTATATTTGTTCTCTCCCACATTTTTTTTTACTATTGGTAAACGGCGTATTACAAAACTGTCACCATAACTAGTGACAGAAAAAACAAAAGTGTCAACCGAAAACGGCGGAAATGTGAGAGAAAAGGAAAAAGTCGAGAAAATAAAGAAGGCTCCAGTAATTGACAATCTTTTAAGTAGCCATATTTTTTCTCTGAGAATTTTGAGTCGATAAGGCTAGATAAGTGCGGATCACGTATAAGAGCATAAACTCAAGTACTGCAGGGGCTTGCAGTGACTTTGCTTTAGTCCGTTAGTCCCGTGAACGAATAACACGACGCATTGGCCGATCATTTTGACCTTAGGAATAAGAAAGGCCCGTTACAAACGTCGTGCTGCTGTCGACTGTAGCAACTACATTCTATCACTCGGTAAAGCTAAGACAACTACCTATGGTCTTAACTCCTTTCTTACTTTTCAGCTATAGTAAACAGTGGAATGCACTCCCTGACTCTTTTTCGCACTTGTTTTTTTTTTGCTAATTTTAAGACTAAAATACAGGATGTTACCTTTTAGGTAGATTCTTTTTGCGTTTATATACTTATACTTAAAATTGTAAATATTAGTTTCTTTTATGTGTGGACTTGTAAATGGATTTAATGTATTTTTACGTGGTGTCAACTCGAAGCCGGATAATAGAGAACTTAAGATTGAGGTTTTACGGCATTTCCCACGAATCGCGAACGTCAGGAAGTCACGTGACCAAGGTCTTGCCGTCAGGTTTGCGGTTTGAGGTTCACTTTTGTTCGGCAAGACCACGCTGCAGAGGTAAGTGATTTACCGCAAGGTTTTTGTATCCTAAAACATCACAATCCTACATTTGAGAAGAAATACGACTTTTTAGAACTCTTTTGCTTATTGATTATCGAATTCTATTAAAAAAAACCCGTTCTTTTGAAGATAATTTCTCAGTTAAAATAGAAGTAGGTGGATGAATGAAAACAAACATGGCAGCCGCAAGCTACCACCCGCGAATCTTTAGTCTCAAACATGGGCAGACGGGTAACGTAAAACCGTTAACCGCGAACCGCAGTTTGTCGTTTCCAGTAAAATGACCAAACCTCGATCTTAAGATCTCTATTAGCTCGCTAGCTACTTCAAAATTCGTTTGAAAACAAAGTTTATGTTGTTGTCGTTGATGAATGTAGCACTTATTTCCCTATCTATCTCATCTTATCCGTGGCGGGCAGGAAGGCGCCGCATAGGGGCGTTATACTACTGATATCATATTAGGGCGTGAAAACGAAGAAATTTCCTCGTTTGTAAAATCAATTTTATTCTCGTGGTTGTAAAAACAAAATATATTTTTAGACTGTCATTTTGGAGATCTGCGCTTCGAAAAAAAATACCGTGTAGCGCTGTAATAGAAAGTCTAACCGTTTCACTAACAGAAGTTATTACCACAATTGGGAGACTTATTTGAAACTGGTAATAAACGTGACAAAACATAGTCTGACGCTTGGCAGAGTAAAGATTCCGCTGTTGCGACATTATATTAGAAAAATAATTCTTCAACAGCAACAATTTGTTGAAAGATACGCAGAGCTTTCGGAACCCATTCGGATCCCTTAAATCAGTAATGACGTTTGGTGTTATTCGTAGCCTCGTTTTGATAGTACGCTTATTCTATCGAAATGAGTTCACCACTCAAGGTGTGAGTCTAAATTGAGAGAGCAAAGATAAAGCCATTCTGCCACGAAACGCGACCTTAATAATAATAAAAAAGTGATCCTCGACATCTTCGGGTTTATGGAAGTTATTAAATCCAGTTAACAGGTGATTTTCCTCAGGCTTAAATTATGAGTTGTGATTGATTATTGCGCCATTCGCTGCGCCTGTTTCAGTCAAGATCGGTTTTAGTACATGACTAATTTTTAGCCCACCTTCGCAAAGTACAAAGTCAGCATGCAGGTCATACTTAGAAAAAACTAAAAGCGCACAGTGAGGTTCAGTAGGATTCATATAAAAGATCATACTATAACAAGCATAATAAGCGGTGAGTCGCCTTAAACGCTACAGTAAACATCGCTGGAAAAAAAAACTACATTCATTTGCAAAGTTGCACTGAATAAGTACTTCATACATTCTAACAAGAACCTAAATGTTTTCTCCTCTTGATGTACAACGATTTAAGCGGGTCTTGGTTCTGTTAGTTAGGAATCAGGAGATACATTTTCGTAACAATGTTTCTGTTTTTTCCGCCAAAACTGTGCTTACCGCAAAACCGGCGAAACGTGTAGTTTGCCAACACGAGATGTCATCTTTATGACAAGCTCGCTTCAGGCTGGAATAACTAACTCAACTCCTCAAAATTCAGTAATAATCAACTCTTTCAAGACAACCAAAAATACTTTAAATTGGGAGAAGGGGACATTATCATACCATGTTTGCTTAAGAAAAAGGAACCCAGGCTAAATGAAACGTTCAGTAAAACAGATCATAGTGGCAGGTGAAGTCAGATATAAAGACAAGAAAATCATTCAAATCCTACGTCCTCAGAAATGACGAAAAGTAAAAAAACAAAATAATAGCATGATCTAGCTGAGCAGAAAACATGATAGTCAGAATGATTGAAAAGCGAAAATTGGCAAAAGACCTGCGGAACTATTTAAGTCGTAACGAAAGGATATATCTTTTATTTTAATCACCAAAGCAATTAAAAGAGAATTTCCCGATATATTTCCCTATCTTTTGTCTCAAGTGAATACAATGGTTTTCAGTCTCAAGGTTTTTATCCTGCGGCTAAAAAATAATACAAAGAGGAAAATGGTAATACGATCGATTTCTTGACTGTCGCTACCCTTATTTGCAGAATAAACCCAAATTAGTCGTCAAGATTAAGGACTGGTGAAATTCTATTGGTCAAAAGACAGGAAATAACTCGAAGAAAGTGTTGTTCAAAGCTGAAGGTGCTGGCGTTAAGAGGGAAATCTGCCACCAGACCATCTACAGGTCTTTAACTCTTACACAAACGGTTAGTACATGCATTATATGAACACTTTGCTAGATGAAGTTCACTTCATAAAGAGAATATACACGATTAAGAAAACGCAAAGAATACATTGCACTGAAATCGAACTCAAAGGTAAGTTGGGATTTAAAAAAAAACTGCAAATTCATTCCGGCTATTCCAAGTTTCCGCGACAAAGATAAAACGCGGGCACAGGACAATTGAATGACAACGTAAAAGCGACCTCAAGAAAACAGAACTTGAATTTGCTTGTTGAAGTTATGAAGCCATAGGTTTTGCTAAACAAACAAAACGAAGAAAGCTGTTTCTTAGAATAAGAATTAGATTTCTGATGCAGAAAACTCTACCGGTAAATGACATCAATAAAATTTTAACTTCTTCTCAACCATAATATGAAATGAACAACGCGTTTCAATGATAGGAAAAAAGGGCAAGCTTGCGCACTTTATTAAATCCACTTTGGTAATAAAACAAAAAAAAATTCATTTAGAAAATTTTTATTATTTTGGTCAGAAAACTGCGCGAAGGTGGCGAAAAGACACAAAAACTGCAACAATTAACATTGCGAGAGTTTAAATAGAACATATTTTGGTTTTGGTATACTATTGCTTATCTTTTAACCTTTAAATATGATAATGCCAGAGAAACAACATATCATGTCAGGACGTTGCTGAAATGGAGCAATTATCGAGGAAACGAAAACAGGGTTTGTAGAAACTAAACATTAAAAGAAAACACTTTACCTTCAAATTACATAAGCCATTTCCGAGCTACCAAAGAAATAATAAAAATGGTTTTTACAGAAGACGGAAATTTTTGCCCCAGCAGACGAGAAAAACGTATGCCAAAGGACAGACGCATGACAAACATGTAACAGAATTTAAAAGAAGCGAGAAAACACTGCGACTGAAATTTATGCACACAAGCTAACCGGCGCTGTATTTCTGATGTCATTCCGTATTCTGTTAAACTACTGGTGTTGATCTATCGTTTTTACTTCACACCAAGGTGTAATTTGGTTAGCAAACGTTGAAGACATCCTATGTTGGCAATTAACGCAAAAGTAAATAAGATGTAATTTGAATAAAATGAAACGACATTCAAGAAGGACAAGACAACAAATGTGCCACAAAAAAACTTCGACAGTGCGCAATTTTAAGAAAAAAAAACGCCGCCCAGTTTAACGACTTGTCTGCTTTAAAAGCACTCAGACAAACACAGACAAAAATGACAAAGCTGTTGACAAATAAAGGAGCAAATGAATAGAAACTTAACTACCTGAAACTTTATTCATCTACATTTTTTATTAACAAGCCTATTGAATTCATACCGAAGAAACCGCTCCAATGTAAAACTAACACATGAACAAGTGTACCATATTAACTTTCAATAACAAAAAATCTACTTTTTTAAAACATTTCAAATCACCACATACACCCCTTCAATGACACCTGTAAACTAGTCCAATCTGCCGCTTTAACGGTCAGATTCATATTGTATGCTGGAAAGTCTTCCTTGGTAATGTAGACAGAAAAGATGACATTTTTTTTTTTCTTTACGCAACCAAGTGAAAGAAAATTGATAAGGAAAGCTTTCTGGACTGTCGCTGATTTTAAGGGGCGTTATTTAAACAGTTTAATGGATTTGGTAGATCTGAAAGGAAATTGAATACTAGACAAACCGTACCAGGGACCAATGTGGTTTTAGGACTTTAGTTGGCGGATGAAGCTTGGCAGTGTGATCATTCTCAGTCATGTTTACTGTCATGTGAAGGATCGAGCTAAAACTGATTTGACCGTTTTTAAGACTTAGGAGACATGGCCATTCATGGGAAATTTACCGGTCACATACGCACTGGCCAGTGTTTTATAAACTTAAAAGAAGTTTTGGCCAAAAGGAGCGTTTAATAGGTTTGGATGTAGTTTCTTCCAAATTTGTTTTAAAAAGCGCCTTTGTCCTGCTTTGAGGCTCGCAAAATTTTAGTCGAAAAAACAAAACAAAGCAAAAACAATTGAAACGCCAATTAATCAANTAAACAGTTTAATGGATTTGGTAGATCTGAAAGGAAATTGAATACTAGAGAAATCGTACCAGGGACCAATGTGGTTTTAGGACTTTAGTTGGCGGATGAAGCTTGGCAGTGTGATCATTCTCAGTCATGTTTACTGTCATGTTATGGATCGAGCTAAAACTGATTTGACCGTTTTTAAGACTTAGGAGACATGGCCATTCATGGGAAATTTACCGGTCACATACGCACTGGCCAGTGTTTTATAAACTTAAAAGAAGTTTTGGCCAAAAGGAGCGTTTAATAGGTTTGGATGTAGTTTCTTCCAAATTTGTTTTAAAAAGCGCCTTTGTCCTGCTTTGAGGCTCGCAAAATTTTAGTCGAAAAAACAAAACAAAGCAAAAACAATTGAAACGCCAATTAATCAAGTTTTGAACGCGCTTCGGACGCGGCAAAAGTTGTTCGCCCAATTTTAACGCAGAAAAATGTATTCAATTCTAGACTGACGCGCGTTGTTTAAAAAATTACTGGTTTTAGGAGCGGGTGTATTTTCTAAAGCAAATCTTTTGACAAAAGAAATTTTGTAATGATTTTTAGTAGAGACAACAAATTTTGTCATTCTGCTGTTTATTTGGCTGTATAAGGTGGTTCCATCTTTCACATCCGCTGATAAATCTCTGACCTGAGGCTATTCAAGTAAAAACTGGTGTGCTCGCTCTAGGCCTCCTAATGTTTTGAACTTTTATAATGTTTGATTTTGCACTTGTTTTCTACGGTGGCCCACAACTGTCACGGTAAAACCAAAAACCTCACGGCAAAAACACAATACCTCGCGGCAACACAGAAAACCTCACGGCAAAACCAAAAACCTCACGTAAAATCAAAATACCTCACGGCAAAACCGAAAACCTCAAACCTGGTTTTGCCGTGAGGTTTTTGTTTTTGCCTTGAGGTTTTCGGTTTTGCCGTGACAGTTGTGGGCCACCATAGTTTTTGTATTAAATTTGAAAAAAATCTACCATTTGTTTTTCAGGTAACAATTCACCGGATGTGAGCGGAAGCGAAGTCGGCATTTCTGTCTCGCTTTCTCTCCACCCCTGATCTCTCACGATGATTTCCAAAAATGTAACAGACAACGGATCAAAAACTGGAACCGAACAAGACGGAGGACTGGACCCAGGCCTGCTCGGCTGGGCCATATCGTACGCTATAGTGTCATTAGCAGTTATGGTGGGCAATTCCTTGACAATTGCAGCGTTCAGCATTAACAAAAAACTGGCAAGCGCCCGCACTAATTACTTCTTGGTGAGCCTGGGAGTTGCGGATTTTATGGTAGGAGCATTCTCTATCCCGCTGTTCGTGGCAGAAATGCTGTTTTTTGACTTTCAAGAAGAATGGTTCCAGTTTAAAGAGATCTATCTGACCATAGATGCTTTCACGGCCTTCGCGTCCATTTTTGCCCTCGTTGCAATCGCGTTAGACCGAGCCTACTCAGTGTTACGCCCTCATAAGCACAAAACTATCACAAAAAAAACCTACTTGTGCGAAATCGCTTTGGTTTGGTTTGTTGCCGCCGGCATGGCGAGTCTCCGTGTTATAAGCAATTTCACTAGCAAAACGGTGTTGAAAGATGCATTTAACTACTCCATGATGGTCTGTATATTCACCTCGCTGCTTCTCATCAGTCTTGCCTACGTCATGATTTGGCTGAAGATTAGGAAGCCTGTGAACATCCACCACAGGAATACCACAGTGCAGGAGAAGAAACTTGCCGTGACACTTTCGATTATTACTCTTGTGTTCGTTCTGACCTGGGTTCCCTTCTACATCATGAACCTCATCATCATGTTTTGCCACTCTTGTTACGTTCTCCATCTGATTTACTTTGCCAAGTTCTTACAATACAGTAATTCGTTCGCGAATTTCGTCATTTATGCCCTCAAGATTCGTGAATTTCGGAAAACTGTTCTAAAGATCTTGTGTAGTGACACAAGAAAAATCTCACTGAATCCCAAGAAAAGAAAGGAATCAAAAGACTGCGAAACGATCTCCATTAGAGACATCCAAATACGACTGAGCCCTTCTCGGCTCGCACCGCAGAATAGAAGAACGCTACCAAACAAGTTAGCATGTAGAGTGCGAGTTGCTGATTCGGCACTTTGACTTCAATGTCAAACGTGGGAGGCAGCGTGGGAGGCAGCGTGGGAGGCAATGTCAGTCGTGGGAGGCAGCGTGGCCGAGTGGTCAGCGCGTCGGACTCGCAATCCGGCGGTCCCGGGTTCGAGTCCCGCTCTGGCCACTTGCTGGATTTGTGCTCGGTCGTTCCGAGTTCAATTCTCGGCCATGCTTGTAAATAGCCAACTGGTTGCCTTCTGCCAGTTGGGGTTTTTAATCCTGTTATGTTGCATTTGAATTATTTGTTTCTAAATATTTGAGTGGAGTGCCTGTAAATTAGCTGACTAGCTAAGTGCACCTTCCATGCTTTTAACCTTTTTTTTTAAACGAATTGCTTTTTCGCGTGTTGGGGTCAAAATTTGGAATGGGATACCTCAAATTCTTAAAGAAAGACCAAAAAAAGCTTTTAAAAGATCACTAAAAGCAATGCTACTCGATATCCTTCAAACTGAAGACTCCTATATTGGTGTTGATACGATTATTGTGAAAATTAAAAAGTAACTCTCTTGTCCTTTATTTTAATTTAATTTTTAAAATTTCACTTTAATATTTCCCTTGTATTTAAGTAGAATAGTGTTTATTAACTGTAGAATATATATACTTCTATAACGTCTAATTTCTTTGTATTTGTCTAGTTTGTAATAACTTATGTAGCCTGGCCTGCCCCGAATAGCCTCGCTAACTGCAGGCCAGTCCCAATGTACTTTTTGATATATTTCGAAATTTAAATAAAGTTGAAAGTTGACTTTATAAATGAGAGGGGAACTGGGCCGAATAAACTTTTGCAAAGACTTCTGGGAGTGTTACTGGGGACAGAGAAAAAAAAAGGTCTTAAACAAAGGCGTAATTGAACGACGCAAGTCAACCGGAAGTGAAGCCTTGTTTTCCCTTAGGATATGCCTTGACGTTAACAAATTTTCATTGTCAAGTGTGTTTACTCCTAAAGAGACGATTTGGCCAAAAATTTGGACAAAATCACTGTCCAACAAAGCAAAAAGGTTACTTCTGGATGACTTGCGTTTTTGCTTATTACCCGTTTAAGTCCCAATAGTGACCAACATCAATTTTCTCCTGACAATATCCGTACATTGTCAAGATATACGGTTATGAGAATTGACAAAACGATTACCAAAGAGAAAATGCCTTGATCTTTGAACAAATTCTCTCAACTCATTCTTTAACGAAATGTATGGAGACCAGTTTGGAGAATTTGTTTGTGGATATTGGTACTTAAAGGGTTAAAGTTCCGTCTTAGCTGTGCGTTGCATCCCTAGTAATGATCGCAGAAAAAATTGCGGGACGCATTTCGGCTCCAATACCTTTCTCGTTTTAAGGTGGTAAATGACAAAACGATTCAACAATCTGATTGTTCAAACACAAGCCAATGCACACAACAGATTGCACAGTCTACCCAGTATTTTAGCGGAGCACCATGGGTAAGAAAATTTGGTAACCTGTGCATCCAAGAAATTTTGTTTCTGAGAAAATCGTCCGTAAGGGGTACGTCCATACGTACGTCCACCCCTTCATGTAAGCCAGGATGAAATTTTGCATTTCAAGCACCCGCGCGTTTCGGCGGTAAATCGCATAGCTTTCCGACGTTTTAGAGATAAAAACAACTTAATTTCAATGTCTAAGTTGACGTGGATAACGGAGAAAAAGCTAGAGCGAGAGACAAAAACCCTCTACCACAATTCTTACTTCGCCGTTTGCAACGGGTTCAATTTGCTGCCGCAAGTTTTGTACTCGGTCACTATGTTAAGAACTTTCGGGATGTACTAAAAATCGAATGGCTTCCAATCAATGAGAGAAGAGATTTGAACCTCCTGAAAGCATGCTTTAAAGCCCTGCATAACACTGAGACTTGGGCAGATTATCTTAAAATAATAAAACAGGAATGCCCCAAGGAACTGCGCTCAAGCAATTCAATTAGATTAGTGGTCCCGACCGAAAACGGCACTTTCCAAGATAATGCGTCGAAGCTATTTAGTAATCTACTAGAAACTATAAGAAACTGAAAAGATTACAGAACCTAATTAAGACTTTCAAGGAAATGTTTAAGAAACAGAGTACAGAGTGATTAGTCAGTTTTACTGTAATTGGATTTTGTTCATCCTGCTTCTACTTTTAATTGTATATTGCATAATTTGTAAATAACTTGATTTATTTTGTAATTGTAATAAATGTAATTTAACAGGGAAGAGCCACCCAGTGGATCTGTTAATAAACCATTATTATTATATTATTGTTATTAATCCTGTTAGAGTCAAGTGAATCCCTTTTAATCGCTGACTTTAGCTCCATTCACTCCAAAGCTCAAACATGATTAAAAGCTGTTTAGTTAAACTCGGCTTAAAATTGATTCCTTCATAAAAGCTGCTTACTGACTTAAGTTAATTGCAAATTTAGTGCAAATTACAAAACATGTTGAATTTCACTTGTGTGAAAACCTCTGTTCCAGTTTTCCGTGACTATTTTTTTTCATTTTTAAAACTTGGATTAATAATTAAACATGTTTAGTTGGAATTAATAGGGCATTTGTAATAGCTTATAACTAGAAGGATATTACAGTAAGTCATACCTGTCCAATAGCGCTGGCCAAACTGAACAACAGTATATGAAACAACACATATGGATATCGCTGACAGAAACTCACAAACTGGAATACTTCTCCGGTTGTCAAAAGTGCTGTCAAATCATAAAGCAGAAATTTTAGGAAAATGTTTGTTTCCTAAAAGAGATGTTAAGTTCCCCATAAAGAGATATCAAAACTTCTCTTTTCGCTCTCTCTTACGCAGTGGCTCTCAGTGGTGTTAAAAGGAATCCTTATGGCTCCGCTGGCAGAGAGAGTCATTAACTTATAACACAGCACTAAGTACTAATCATTCTTTTTGTTTAGTTCAAAAACCCCTTCCAGACAGCCATATCAGTATTACATTGTCAAAAAATAACAATTTCAATAACAATCAAATATAATATATAAAAATAAGGATGCTGCTCCTGAGAGTACTGTGCTTACTAATATTATTCTCCGAAATGCAGCGTTCATTCGAGAATCCAACAGCTACGGTTCGCGCGCGTAGCTTCGCAATGTAAGAACAAAGTTTTTTGTTATATTCCTGGACTTTCACCAATTAAACAGGGACTGTCATTGGTTGATTCTTGGTCACGTGGCCTTGACTAAAATCAAAAGTATCCCGATCGCGATACATTACAGCACATAATCAAAGCATGGTGGATAGTGGCGTGACAGAAGGCGGGAAAAACACCGCCAATTTTCTTTTTCGTCAATGAACATAGGCTCGATTACCAGCCGCTGTTCGGGAAAATGATCACGCGTCACGCGTCCAGCCGTCTCTCTTCGGGGAGGATCAAAGACCGGACCCGGGAGACGGCGGAAATCGAGCCTACAATGAACACAACACAAACATGAAGCCTCAAGCTAAAAGCAACGATTTTCAAAGTTATCCCAGAAGAGAAACAGCAGCTAGTGTAGGAAAAAAAGATGCATATAGCATAAGGAAAGTACTTTGTCAATCATTCATTCAGTGGTTTTGAGAATTAAATTGTTTTGTTATAAGTACCGAGTCGACTGTTTTAGTTCGCTCCGGTTATTCTTTTGTTGCTGTCAAAGTGAAAGTCTAAGAATATAACAAAACACTTAATGTCAGGCCCCTCTGGAAACCAGTTAGTTTTGTTTTCCCTCGAGTCCTGATGTTGTTCAAAGCTGGGTTAAGATAACCCAAGGTTAGTGCGAAATTTGAATTCAGATATGACGGATTAAAAAGTAAATTCAGTTTAATTCTTTTTGTCAACAAGTTGATGATTGGATGCTCTTAGAATAATAGAGAAAATCATCCACGAAAATGCTTTTAAACAAAAGAAAAAAAAAAGGGTTAAATTTAACCCTGGGTTAAGCGCTAATCGGCCTTCGAACAACTGGGCCCAGGACTCTCGGGAAAACAAAACTTACTGTTTCCCTCGGGATCTGACATTAAGTGTATAATATTCGCTCCTGGGAGTTTTGCTGAAAAACGTTTTTTGAAGCTAGTCAAGCCATTGCCTGGCTATAAAGAGCTAAAACGCCAAAAAAACGCCTGGTTTATTTGTGGACTGAAACATTCTTTCTTTTGCTCTAAAATATATGGCAAGCCGGCTGTGTATAAAAATGAGAGTGGGACAGGGGGACGGGGACACTAGGACGTATGTACATGGAGTTGGCACTCGGGGACGCGAAATGAGGGACTTCAGGGACCCGATTAATTTATTGCAAAAGTCGGAGGTAAATGCGAATCAGTCACTTTCTTCGTGAAAAAGTTTTAAACGTTTTTTTAGCAACTAGCAGTAACCAGTGGTTAGGAAGTGAAGGCGAACATGTGGGTTTACCTTAGAGATGTGATTGAAGAGAACCGCTTTCATAATTTTGTACGTGAATCAGAGAAAGCCCTTTTAGTTTTGTCATCAGCGGGTCATGAGCGCGGAAACTTAATTGAGCAACACAGTAAACAAAACTCATATTTCATTCAATGATTTTATTCACAGTTGTTTAGATACAATTAGCTTACGAATAGTGAGGAGGGAGGAGAGAAAGCTGTATTCCCTGGCAAAGTTACAATGAAACAGTAACGCGTGATACAAGTAATGCGTGACACAAGTAATGCGTGATACAAGCAATGCGTGACACAAGTAATCATGACTCCACGAAGTTATTATTTAATCGAATATTCAGTCCGTGTTCAATGACCAAAGGCCATTGATATGCAATAAAAAATAATGAGAAAGCTTTGCTTACCACATTCCAAGAATGTGGACAGATTTTGGAGATTTTCGGGGTTGAGCCCGCAATTACGGAATGAAGCTGAGTCGTGATGTGAAGAATTTATGCTGATCGAGGAGAATCGGCTGATCGAGATCACATCATACGAAAGCCGAATTCAACAATTGTTTAACATTCATTAAAAATACTTCTAAGTTCTTTACAAACTTACCTCTTCGAAGGCTTTCTTCAAAACTTTGGCTTGTGTCTCGGCATGGTTTAAGGATATAAACTGATGTTTTTGAAATTCAAATTGACGTGTTGTAGGCATATAGTGGAGGCACAGTAAAACAGTAAAAGTTAAAACGCATGCTCTATTTAGGTTATTTTATGTTACGTTTCGCCGTGTTGATTTGTAGTCTAGAAGTAGCATTCAATATTCACTTAACATTTCTACACAAGAATGTTATTAAAATGTTCACTGTTCAGTAAAAACTGTTTTTCTTCTCACTTTCGGCTATTTTCTTCGAGCTCCCGATAACTCAATTCGATTTCCCTTGAAGGTTCGAGGGTTGGATATTTTTATGCCCAGTCTCTCACAACGCCTGATGAGTTTCGAGAACTATTCACCCTGCCGCTAGCACAAGGGGGTCTGGGTATACCAGACCTGAAAACTGAAGCACCGCATGTAGCAGCTTTTTGTACGCACAGCACGTTCATGCCACTGGATGAGCAAACTTTGGAAGACCTGAAACGACAACAGCAGTCGCTAAAGACAACAGCGGTGAATACGAGAAGAGAGACTGTTGATGCATCTCTCTCACGGGACTTGCGATGGTCGACAATGCAGGCAAGAGACAAGGATGCAAGCTCGTGGCTCAACACAGTACCCCTTGAGGAGCAGGACCTGACATTGAATAAACAACAAGTTTGGGACTCGCTACGATTGCGTTACAATCTGCAAGGAGCCGACTTGCCGAGCCATTGCGCGTGTGGAGATCTATTCACAGTCAGCCACGCCCTGTCGTGTAAGACAAGGAGTTTTGTTGCACAAAGACATGATGGCATACGCAACCTTCTCACGTCTCTGCCTAGCAACGTCTGCAAGGATGTCGAGGTAGAGCCCCACCTCCTACCGATCGACAATAAGGTATTCAACCTAATATCTACAGTCACAAGCACTGCGGCTAGACTGGACATGAAGGCAGGAAGTTTCTGGTCACGAGGAGGAACGGTATTTTTCCACGTACGTATTACGCATGTGAACTCAACGTGTAACCAGAACAAATCCACAAAATTAATCTTCGTGGAACATGAGAAAGAGAAGACAGGGAAGCACCAACAAAGAGTTATTGACGTGGAAATGGAATCTTTTAATTCCCCGGTTTTTGGCACGAATGGAGGAATGTGGAAAGAATGCAAACTTTGCCTGAGCAACCTAGCGGACAAACTTTCCCGAAAGAGCGGCGAGTCTTATGCCAGTGCCATGTCTTGGCTTAGAACACGGATATCTTTTGAAATTTTAAGATCAGTCTATACATTTGTTCCAGGGTCCAGAACCACTTTTCACAAGAAAGCACGCTGACTTTTTAGACGTTTTAGTAGTTTTAGTATTAGTTTTTTAGAAGACCATGTATTAGTAGGAAATTTATTTTAAGATTGAAAAGTTTTTACCATTATAATGACAATAAAAACTTCAGTATTTAATTTAAAAAAAGAAAAGTCTCCCACAAAGCTCCCTGTCACACAAAGCGTCCAGTCTCCATGTCTTGCTTTGCAAACTGCTCTGCTCTACATATCTCGGTTTAAATTACCTTTCGTCACAAATTCCAACATGTATTTAGTACACTCCATTGTGACAAGGGTTCCATTTCAACGACACAACTCGAAAATTGATTATTTGGAATGGGAAAATACTTGTATTAGCATTTTACACTCGAGTAATCCAGACGCATGAAGCCAAGCGTGAAATATTGTCACGAAACCCTTACCTCAAGAACTGCATTTCTGTGGTCACGAAACAAAAAATGGAAAAGAAATTAACATTTGGCTTTGACTCGAGGTTGTCTCGTGTAGCAACAAACGTTGCGATCAATATCTGCGTGAAAATCGTAAGATAAACGATAAACGAAACCCTTTATGTACATTAACCACGATGAATGACATCTTTCACGAAAGATTCATTACAGTACCACATTTGATGTACAACAAGTAAAAGACACTTGCTAGGAAACCAAGAGCTGCAAAGACAACGAAGAGCTTCATTGTCCCAAGCTGTAGCTTAGACTTTATACCTTTTTTGGCTCGCGCGTCTCCAACATTTTCTCTAGGAAATTTTCGTTCAGGAATCTCACAGCCAAGAAATTCGCACAGGGGTTTCCAGCCTTGTTTAACATTGTACATCAGCAACTTTTCCTTTNCGACACAACTCGAAAATTAATTATTTGGAATGGGAAAATACTTGTATTAGCATTTTACACTCGAGTAATCCAGACGCATGAAGCCAAGCGTGAAATATTGTCACGAAACCCTTACCTCAAGAACTGCATTTCTGTGGTCACGAAACAAAAAATGGAAAAGAAATTAACATTTGGCTTTGACTCGAGGTTGTCTCGTGTAGCAACAAACGTTGCGATCAATATCTGCGTGAAAATCGTAAGATAAACGATAAACGAAACCCTTTATGTACATTAACCACGATGAATGACATCTTTCACGAAAGATTCATTACAGTACCACATTTGATGTACAACAAGTAAAAGACACTTGCTAGGAAACCAAGAGCTGCAAAGACAACGAAGAGCTTCATTGTCCCAAGCTGTAGCTTAGACTTTATACCTTTTTTGGCTCGCGCGTCTCCAACATTTTCTCTAGGAAATTTTCGTTCAGGAATCTCACAGCCAAGAAATTCGCACAGGGGTTTCCAGCCTTGTTTAACATTGTACATCAGCAACTTTTCCTTTAGAATAATGGCTTGAACTCTCTCGTTGTGTTCCCGATATTTCTTCTTGAAGAGGACAGTGGATTCAGAGCACAAACTTCCGTAGGCAGCCACATCTATTTCACGAGCCAAGATTGGGTCGAAACCACCTACTATATATGGCGCAATATACCAAAAGATTATGTATTGAAGAAACCCAAGATGGAGATAAAGGTCGTTGTGTTGTACCCACCTTTTTAGTACATTCCTTTACCGTCACTGCACGACTACGACGTGAAAATGTCTAATTTCACGTTTTGTGAACGACGTGAACTCAAGGCAACGACTTTCTTCTTCTTTTCCTGAACTTCGATAAAGTTTTTTAGAACTCAACTCCAGAAAAAATTGCTAACATTTGACAAATTGAACGACATGCAATAAGCGCGATGAAGCAGGGGGGGCATCACTTTTTAAGTGACGTTTTCGTAGCCGTCGCGGTCGTTGCAGCTTAAGCTTCCAACTCAACATCCTCAAGTCCCGCATCTCGTGTCCCGAGTCCCAACTCCCTGAACACACGCCTCACTCCCATTTTTATACACAACCGAAAGAGCGCGGGCTGACTGAGTGGAACCAGCCTTCCCGAACAAAAAGTAGACATTTACGCCCACAGGGCTCATATAGTTTATTCTTAATAAGAACTTGTTGCCCCAAAAGATCAGATCACTAACAGCTGAACTCCTACAGTTAGATGCAGAGTGAGCTCCTCCATGAAAATGGCTGGTAATGATGTCTTTTTACAACAGACAAGAGACAATATTTTATTTGGGGTCTTATGCCAGATAGCATGTGATTACTAAGAGAGATAATTTACATACATATCATAGACATACAGACACATATTTTAATCTACTTTTTGTCTTCCTTCTCTTTTCTTATTTTGAAGCATTTCAACACATGCCTTTAAATGAAGGTTTCAGGCGTCACGCTCTTAATTACATAGTCATAGAAAGTCACACAGGTACCCCATGGATATCAGCAGAGTGTCGACAGGGCTACCCAACTTCAATAAAGGCACTCTCCTTTCAAAGTATCATAATAAAAAGAAAGCAGCTACACTTACAGATGGCCAAGATGCCGATTGACCAGAGATTCATGTTGAACATCATGTGATGTGATTGAACATGATGTTCCGCTCTCATTCTGTCTTGAACTGCTCCTGTTAATCCATCACACGTCAAAGATACCAACTGCCAAGAAATTAATATATTTTTAAATCATTTTGTTGTACTTGGAGGCAGTGTGACCGAGTGGTCAGCGCGTCGGACTCGCAATCCGGCGGTCCTGGGGAACGTTTCTCGAAAGTCCCGGTAACTTTTTGGGCCCGAAATCAAATATTCAAATCGAAATATAAGGAATAAGGGCGTGGGTCCTGGACAACAAACTACTCCATTTTGTTTCACTAACCGATAGTTTTATCATGTTTGATTTAAAACTATTGAACTCTATCTTACATGTAAACAACAACAGCTTTACGGACCCGTTTAATTATCGGGGCTTTCGAGAAACGAGCCCCTGGGTTTGAGTCTCACTCTGGCCACTTGCTGGATTTGTTCATGGTCGTCCCAAGTTCAAATCCTTGGCCACGCTTGTAAATAGCTAACTGGTTGCCTCCTGCCCGTTGGGGTTTTTAATCCTTTATGCTCTACTTGGATTATTTGTTTCTAAGTATCTGAGTGGAGTGCCTGCAAACAAGGTGGATAAGCTAAGTGCACTTTCCACTGTAAACAAACCTTTACCTTTTAACTTTTTTTATAAACTCTTTGAGAAACCACTTAGAGTCACGAAGAGTGGCCAGTATCTTATTCTCTTTAAAGGGGCTGTATGTGTTATGGCAGCGGTTCAGACTGCTTGGTTTATTATTTTTGACTATCTGCCCTTACCTCCACGTAGATATCCAGGTTAATGATTATAACAAAACTACAACTTTGTGACATTTACAAATATGTCTAGGTGTGTTAAAAGAGAGAAAAACCTGTTACAACATAACGACTGCACCTTCACAAACTTTGTTCCCAGGCCCACTGAAGGAGAAAATACCAACCACAAAAATACATCAGACCCTTGAATGCGCAACCTAGCCTTTCCATCAGCCTTCCGAATTACACTCTTATACAGACTTACTTATGAAATCATGACATATGAATTGCTGTTTCTTAAAGGGGCTACACGTAAGTCACGCTATTTCATCTCCTTTTAAAAATCTAAAACTTTTTTCAATCAATTGAATTCTAAACACAGGGCTGTCATTAAGAGGAAGGGGCCAAGGATTTCCCCAGGCTACTGAGAACGTGGCCCCCGCCTACTTTCATGAGAAAATAGAAGAAAAATAGAACCAAAAGAAATCTCTGGCTGTTTGACTCCCCACCTACTTGCTGTATTTACCCAACAACTTGAAATTTTGTTATTCAAGACTATAACTATTTTAGAAATTGATTCTCCCCCCCAGTCATCTGTAACAATGAATGGTAACAATAGACATGGATTGAAACTTTTTCAAGTTTTAATGCTCTGCCTGCAAAAATCACCAAAATATTTTTATTATCATAGTGCTCCCTAATAAACTTTGTTTGACACCATCGCAACTCTACTGGACCATTTTGTACATGATTAAAGTCACTACTGAAGCAATGAAGTAATTGCCCAGGGCAAGCAAAATGAGAGAACTGCTTATCCAAAGGACAAGCTGGAATTCACATTTTTCTTCGAGCCCTGAATTTATAAATTAGCCCCTTAAAAGAAATTGTGACTACAAAAACTCACAAGAAGAATTTCTCCAAATCCAATCCATCCATCACTGGTGTTTGAAACTTTTTTCTTATTCTGGAACAAAAACAGAGCAATGAAAAAATAAATTAGCCCCTTAAAAGAAATTGTGACTACAAAAACTCACAAGAAGAATTTCTCCAAATCCAATCCATCCATCACTGGTGTTTGAAACTTTTTTCTTATTCTGGAACAAAAACAGAGCAATGAAAAAACAAAGGAAATATACCCAACAAATTACATTATGTTCAAATTTCCAGCTGAACCTCATTAATACAGGCATCGAAGGAACGGGCACAAGAACATGTACAGGTGCCAGTTATTTTTAAATCAAACTTCAAAGATTGTTTGGTGTCCACCAACACATCCTCAGAAATGTAGTCTGGTGTTAGCGAATTTACCTTTGATCAGTCCACAGTCTGATATCTTCATTTGGTGGAATTTTTGTTTTGTTTTGCTAGCCTGCTAAATTTATTATGGGATTTCTTTGGTTTTGTGGGCCCCACTTTCACTGAAAACTCCTCTCAAAGAAAGCTCTCTTACACGAGCCAGACAGGTACAAATAGTCGAGTTTGCGGGTAAACTTCTTCATATAAGAAGATCACAAGAGCAGCACGATAGATGCTGGCCTCTGAATGGGCACAAAAAGAAATTTTTTTGTGTCCAATCAGAGACAAACATTTGATTGAGCTCTTTCTGCAAACTTTCGCCACCTTTATTCTGGCCCTGACCGACCGCCCCTGGGTCTCCACGGATGCCACCAACAAGGAAACCAAACAAAGGCAAAGGACAGGTTCAATGTTACTGTTCTTGTTGAAAGTAATCATAATAATTACATTTTTTCTTTGCACTTGAGGGCCACGTATGTCTTTTACAAACCCCATCAATAAAACCATGATAACAACAAGTACATATTAAATTAAAGATGGAATCCATCAGGAAATTGAGTAATTTTAATTTTCAGTGGATAAAAACCTTGTAACAATATTTTAAGCCATATTGCATCCTTTTTTACACTTTTCAAGGGCTAGAAATGTAATAAATAACTCCAAAGAGAATCTTTTCTATTTTATAGCCCTTGAAAAGTGTAAAAAAGAATCCAGGATTATTGAAATCATTCTGGTACAAGGTTTTTGTTTACCGAAAATTAAAATTACTCAATTTCCTAATGGATTCTGTCTTAAAATAACATTTTTACATATCTCACCTCCTTGTACATGAATAAAGCTACCCCACAGACAATAAGCAATACACACATATATTTTATAAGTGGGTACTTTTTCTTTGCCAATAGAACTCCAAGAATCATGACTAAACAAAAAGACAAAGGAAAAAAATACATGTAGGCCAAAATTACATTGAATTCCCTTTTAATATAAGGGTCAACACATTTAAGATCTGACAACAATATTCACTATAATTACAGTTGAACATCCATTAAGTGGCCAGTAATCAAAGTCCCAAAATAACATTTGGTAGAAAATTTAAAAAAAAATTAAACCTCTACTAAGCGGTCACCTCCATTAAGGTATCATCCAGGGAAAAAATCATCATTTTTTGAAATTTCCAATTTTTAGATGATTAAATAGAGCTCATCGAGAGCTTTCTTTTTTAAAAAAAAATTCCAGGAAAAATGTTCTTTCTATGCGGACTTATGGAATGCACAAGTCTTTTCTATACTAATATTATTTTAATTGACCGTTGACAAGTCCTGTCATACTTGTTAGCTCTCTCTTCTGCAGTGATCTAGTCTTTGTTTTAGGCATGTTTATCGACTTATAAAACAGTTTCTTCAAGTATTATTCAAACAGGATATATAACGGTTACAGAAAATATAGAACGTTAAAGAGAAAATTATAAAGTTACCAAGTTAACCTATATGAATTCCTCGCGTCTGAGGCGAGCAGTGTATCAGAAGATTATAATTCTCACCAAGTACTGCGTTTGTAACCTTTTGTTAAATGACGCTTATACACTTTACAATTGGCTAAACCCAAGAAGACTCAAGCGATTTCGGAAAACATGTGAATCAAGGTAAAATGCAATACTCAGTGCTCTTTTTGTAATTTGGTACGGCTAATTTCACAAAAACAGCGATTAAACCAAAATTTCAGTGCTGCCATTGATCAGTGTAGTATAAAATGCCCGATTTTCATGTCCATTGAAACATTTTAAGTTGCCTAACGTAGGCCCAAATTGAGTACATATTGAAGTGATGTGATAGATTTGGATTTGCTTTGGGATTCTTTTCCTATTCTCTCGAGTTTAGCACAACATCAAATTCCTATGCAGCGCACGAAAATTTACTGTGCTTTGTTGCCTTCTGTAATCTATTAACTATTGTTTCTCCTTTCTACAACATTACTATAATTATTTTGGAAAGATTATGGAAGGCAACCAAGCATGGTAATTTCTCACATGCTGCAAAGGAATATTAC